ACGTCACGCCGTCGGCAGGTGTAGAAGGCGGTGGTCCGTGATGAGAAATTTCGTAATAAAGCCTCGCTCATAGGCCCCGTCAGAACGGAAATATCGTTTTCATCTCGCACCGAGGCCCATTGAACCCGCCTCGGTATTGGAAAGTGGCCTTGGGTACAGTGTAGAGGATCTCGATGCGAGAGTCATGGCGACGAGTCGGACCCCGTGCAGTCGGTAAAAGGGATGACGAAATAAAAGAGAGGGTAGTCGTCGAACAGCGTATCGTGAGACGCTGGGGAAGTGGGCGAGGTCAGGGTGGCGGCCACCATCGCGACGAATGATGGACAGCCCGTTGAGGTGATGGCCCTGGTGGTCCCGTCGGAGTAGCTCCGTGGCAGACCGAGTGGACACGGTTCGCTCGTCACGGTCGTAAACCGAGTGAGTGGTATTCGCGGATCGGCCAATGACGACGGGCACATACATACCCTCGATTAACGAGGCCTTTCAAAGATGCGAGATGAGAGCGTACGTCATTTTTCCCTCGACGTGCCTCCTTCGCGTGATCCGAAGCGATGGCCGTCGTCGCCAGACCATTTCGCAACGACCGTGTACGGTAGTACGGCTCACTCGACCTCTACCCAAACGCTACATCTCCTGCGAGTACGTCTGTCGGTCGTCATTCTCATTGCAGGACGTACATGGCGAGCCATGAGCAAGTCGTTCGAATGAAGTGTGAGAGAGGAAGCCGCTTCGTCCCTCTCCCTTTAAAACGTAACCGTCACAATAAAAGCTAAGACCCGTGTTCATCGGCATGGCCTCCCGTGAAGGTATTTTTTTTTGGGGGGGGGGTGTTGGGGGTGTGTTTTCATTTTAATCGAAAGAAACCAAAATTGGGATAAAGAGAGAATTGACGGACGGTACACAAGGTCCACATCATTTTATTTTCAGTAAAGTACCCGATGACGGTAGTGTGTGACACCTAGGTAGACGTGTGGTGCGCCATGGAATGGGCCCTGATGGTGAACAGGAACATATTCTTGAGGGTCGTGACGTATCGCCT